CTCTGACACAAACTGCTCTTTTTCAAGGACCGCTGTGCCAGAGCTTGTGACTGACCCAAGGTCACATCAGCAGGTGCAAGTGGAGGAGTGGGGACTCAAACCCGGTTCTCCCAGATTAGAGTCCGCACACTCAACAGAGAGAGAGAGGGAGAGAGAGAAGAGACTTAATTTCAACTTTTAGCTGCATGCTTAGTTTCACGTCTGGGCACTCAGTATCCAAGAATGGCAAATGAAATCTCAGCCGGTTTTATCCGGTGGGGGAACAGAAAAGACCTTCTGGGCTAAAGGGGAAGCAGGACACAGAGAGAGACAAAATGGCAGTGTGCGGGTGGGGGAAACCTAATGCCTCGGCGGCAGGTGGCATGGCGCCCACTGTGGTGGCAGTGGAGTCCCAGATCGCTAATTACAGCAGCTCCTTAATCTGCTAATGACTTCTGTCAGTGCTGGGCGGTTGGAGGGGGTGGGAGGCATATATGGCAACATGTCATCACCGTGGTGGTGTGTGGGGGGATGCAGTGGCTAGGCAGAGACTGAAACCGTGCATGAAGAACGTGGAGGCTGCGTGGGTTTTTACGGAGGAGCGGGGGGGGGGGACGACAGGAAAGAGACGGATGCCAAACTGGACAGGCTGACGGCAGCGGCGTCATTACGGACCTGTAGTAATCCCACCATCTCATGTTCCAGTAGCACTTTTCACACAGCAAGTCCTTACAAACAGCCACGTAAGGTAGGACAGTATTACTGTTAATATGGGGTGGGGGAGGCAGAGAGAGAGGGAGTCGCTTGCCCACGGCTACCAAACGGTGAAATCTGAGGCTTCTCTCTACTGGACCAGCACTCTCTGAGCGTCTCTTTCTCTCTGCGTTTCACTTAGGGAGGAAGTTCCCCTCGATTTAGGCTCTCCCCCCCCCTCCACTGCCCAGCTCTGAAGTTTGTACCCTTCCCTTCTTCTTTGATCTTGTTATTAAAGTAAATCCTAAAAAAACCAAACCACAATGGTGTTCTTTACAAGATGAAAGCGAAAACACCATGTCTCTCTCTGTGTGTCTGTCATCTCTGATTGTGTGCTGTGTGTACAGTTGGCAGCTCTGGGTTGGGAAATTCCTGGAGATTCCTGGGGGTGGAGCCTGGGGAGGGCGAGGTCTGGAGAGGGGAGGGGCCTCAGAGGGGTATAATGCCCTAGAGCTAGGGTGTCGAACTCATTTGTTATGAGTTCCGGATCTGACATAAATGAGACCTTGTTGGGCCGGGCCCTGCGTGTCATAAAATGTAACACCAGGTAAGCGGTAACACCAGGTAAGCGCTTAGAACATTAGCTCTGTAAACTGCAAAGCTAGTTTCGATTGATTGACATCCACCACAGAAATCTCATGCTCAAGAGTTCTGAGTCTATGACCCAGGTTAAAAGATGAAATGGCTGAGCAATTAAGAGAGTCTGGCGAAGCAAGCTATGATGCAGCAGCAGCAGCAGAACTGGAAGCAGGAGATGGCCAGTTCCACTGCGGGCCTGATGGAAGCCCTCCGGGGGCCTGATCCAGCCCACATGTTTGACACTCCTGCCCTAGAGTCCAAAGCAGGGGAACTGATCTCTGTAGCCTGGAGATCAGTCGGAATTCTGGGAGATCTCCAGGCCCAACCTGGAGATTGGCAACATCAGTTAAGTGGGAGCATAAACGCTGCATAACCCAGGGGGCGAATTGGTTGGAAGAAAGGAGATTCCAGGCAATCGCAAGCAGGCTTTGGCTTCTTGGATGGAACAGTTGAGTATTCTCGGCTAAGTCCTTTTAACCCAGAGGGGTCACGTCACCTGTGCCAAGAAGAGTCCCGTGGTACCTTCTGACAAATTTGAGGCTCGCAAAAGCTGTCTCGGGTCAGAGCCCACACCGTTGAGATCCACCTGATGAAACCAGTTCCTCTCAAAGATTGATTGAAATTCACCACAGAAATCTCATGCTCAGAATTCTGAGTCTAGGACCCAGGTTAAAACAAGAAATGGCTGAGCGATTAAGACAGTCTGGCGAAGCAAGCTGTGATGCAGCAGCAGTCAGCAGTCAGCTGAGTCGTTTCAAAGGGGAATGGATGCCGGGGTGCTTTAAGGAGCACCATTTGGGTGCCGCTGGGTGGCTCTCTTGGGAAGTTGAGCCACTTCAGAGCCTGATTGGGGAAGCTCCACCTGAGCCTCTGTGTCTGTTCCACCTGGGAAACCTTTGTGCTGGTCTCCGCACACAGGCAAAGAAACAAGCTGTCATGCAGGGGGGAGAAGGACTTATTGGGTGGGTCTGTGTTAGGGGACAGATGCTTCCACAACAAGGTTCCATCCATGGTTTTCTAGAAGAAGAACGCACAAACCAGAAAACCTGGACATGATCCTTCTCTGCACGGAATGTTGGAGGGGGGATGCTCTGGTTTTTGGGCAAAACTCTATTGTAGAATTAGTTCTACTATAGAGTTTTGGCCAAAAACCAGAGCATCGCCTCCCCTGACATTCCCAACGTGCCTAGATCACTTCCGGGTCATGTAGGCACATCATGTTTATTTCCGGGTTCTTGTCTGTTTGGGGGTGGGTAATTAGGGGGCGGAGAGGAGTGCTTGAAACCAGGGGACTCCGCCCACACTGGGGGTGGGGTCCGGAATCACTATGTGTGTCTGTGTACCAAGGCCTCTGACTCAACCAGGTCCAATCTCAGGGACGCCATCTTGAAAGTTGGTCATTTTGCTTCCTGAGAATATTGAAAAATTCTACTTTGTGAGCCACTGGCATTAATGTTGTGAGCGAGTGATTTGGCTACTGCATCAGTCAGTTTGCTCTGGAGCCTCATCCTTCCTGAGCTAAGGCAAAAATGTGTGAGCTGGAGGCTAAAAAGCTGTGAGTTACCTCACACTCAGCTTAGAGGTAACACCGCTCACAGGCAGGCCCCTAGCTACATTGAAGCATTCTGGGGCCCGGCCCCCTGACTTCCTACCAAGGCCCCACAACTTCCCCACCTGTCAGCAGCCCCCACAGGCTCCATCCTGGGCTGGCGGCCAAATCGGGCAGAATCAATTTCAGCAGGCAGAAAGACTCCCACGTGTCAATTTCGGCAGTACAAGACAAGGGGATTGGGGAGTCTGCCAGCTGAATGTCAATTTCGGCCCCATTATCTCCTATGGGCCATTGAAGTCAATGACGAAAACATAGGGTATATTCTAGGGGGCTGGAGGGGAGGTGGTTTGAGGGAGAGGCTCCAAACGTGCAGGGTAGCT